TAAGTAAATACTAATTCAATAACTATAGTTCTTTTTCTGTTCTCAGGTAAGTAGTTGGAACAGGTGCTGGCTTACTCGATACAGTTGAACTTAACACAAAGACAAGACATCAGATGTATTTAACTTCACTCGAGAAAACGAGTGAAAAAGAATTTTTCTTTGCATTTTGATGTTTGTTAGAGGATAATAAAAAGACTAGTTTTGTCAGGGGCTGTGAGGGTTATCATTTGTTCCCAGCTGGCTGACTAAAATGTGGCTAACGACATCTTTGTATGATTCTTTCATTCCTTAGAAGCTCTGATAGTTCTGTCTCCTTTTAAAAAGTACTAGGGGGGATTTATTTATCACTTCCAGTGTATCAGGGACTCTGATAGGCCCATGCACTCATGAATGAGTTTAATCTTCCCAATAAGACCTTTTATTACCCCCATTCTGCAGATGAAGAAAGTGAAGCTCAAAGGGATTAACCAGTTCTATCCTGGTTAGTCATCAAGGAAGTGGTACAATGGGATTCAATCCCAGAGCAAACAATCTTTACAATTACTCTGGCAAACCTCACTGGAGCTCTACATTTTGAGTTCGAAAATTTCCTGAGAGAGAAAGAAGAGTTGTGTATGCATACAAAGCAAATGCTGCCCGAATATGTTTACATAGCTATAAATGTGGAGATAATTCTGGAAGTCATATACTGTGCCTTGTTATTGTCCTTGAGTCTTGCTCAGTCGAGTTACTTTTTTATACTACAACAGCCACGATGAGTCTATCTACTTTTCTGTTTCACTTCACTCCTTTCTCGTGAAGAAGTAATTCTCACAGGAAATAACTTCAAACTGGGCCACACAAATCTGGGAAAAGTGGCAGCAAGAAAAGAATAGAGAGGGTCAGCAATACATTTAAAAAGCTATGCTTTGGAAATTCTCTCTTGATTAAAGTGACTAAGTCTCCAGTGAAGTCACTGAAGGGATTTTTTTTCTCTCATGGAATGCTTGGTGTGAGTGAACTTTTTTGGAAATCAGTGAAGAGCCCAAGCTTCTTATCAAGTTGTCACAGGGCAAAACAGGCAGTAAGAAAGGGTACAGGGGCACAGGGAGGGACAAGAGAAAGCTCAGGAGCTCAACAAAACTCTGAGGGAGAACTTTGGACTCTTGAGCAACTGCAGCTGAGTCATTTTAAGCAGATCTGTATGTGTGTAATCAAGTTTAAGTCTTTCCCAGTACAGTGGCTAGAGTTAAGGGTGTTAAACAACTCGGCTTCTCCTACTTTGTTGATAAGGATGTAATATGGGATAGCCACTTTAGATGTGAATTTGTAAACTTGTCAGAAGATTAAACATATATCTACCATACGACCTAGCTATTCCCTACTATATATTTACCCAAAAGAAACAGAAACACAAGTCAACACAAAAATCTGCATGCAGACATTATAGCAGCTTTTATCAGAAGAAAGAGAAACTACACAACTTCAAACGTCTATCAACTGCTGAATGGATAAACCACTATGGTATAGATCTATACCACAAAATCATTTATCAATTAAAACAGTGAACTAATGATACACACAACAGTATGGGTGAGTCTCACAAGCATTATGACACGTGAAAGAAGCTAGGTACAAAAGACCATGTACTATATGGATTCATTTATGCAGCATTCACAAAAACCAAACAGACAAAAAATACTGACAAAAGCAGGTCAGTGATTGTCAGAGGCCGAAAGTGGAAGGAGGAGGAGGAGATAAACTGCAAAGGGAGTTGAGGGACACCTGAGGTGACAGAAATGTTCTGTCTCTTACTGTAGTGGTGTCATATGACTATATACATTTATCACAACTCATCCATTGTGCACGTAGGAGCTGTCTTCAAAAAATATAGTGACTGCTTAAATTACAGTGAAAGACACATTTGCCATTCATCATAAATGTCTCTAGTTTCAGTGTCTTGGCTACCTCAATGTCCTCAAACAATGCAAAGCATTTACCTTTCCTAGTCACCTTGATTTAGGGGAACAGCCAGAGGACACATGGTGCAAGATCTGGTGAATGAGGTGGATAAGGATAACTATGTTTACATGAATCTGCTTTCCACTGGATGACACTCAGCAGCAGCCTTCTCTACAATTTTGATCACATCTTGTAAAGACACTCATGCAAGAAGACTTGCAGAACTGCTTCAAAAAGTGGCAAGAACAGTCAAAGTGTATTAGAAGTGAAAAGTAATATTTTGAGGGGATAAATGGCATTGTGTCTTACTGCAATACATTTTTAAAATGTAAAAGTCACTGTATATTTTGACCACACCTTGATCTGTGGAATTTTCAGAATGTCTCCACATTTCTTCCTTATTGGCAAGGCAAGGAACACAAAGTTTTGCCATGATAATATTGAGACCTAGAGGAATAAGAGGTGGTGGGAGGCAGCTGGAACTGGGTAGAGTATAGTACTTTCATATCACATCGGCTACATTGCAAGACAAACAGAACTGGGATCTGCAGATCCTAGACATCATCAATTTGGAACTTGTTAGAAAAGAATCTCATGTTCCATCTAAATCTACTGAATTTAGAATATTTATGAACAGGTGAATCCTATGCATTTTAAAGTTTTACAAGCACTGATTCAGAAAGCTGTGTTTTAGGAAAATTCCCAGGGCAGGGATATACAAGGTGTACTGAGTGGAAACTGCCTGCAAGTCTGGAAAGTCTTATGAGAACATTTAAAAAGCTCAGGAATTACTTCAAGATCTGAATTATGGTGCAGGGGGAGCAAATGAAAGGAAAGAAACAAATGGGAAGAGCTAATGGAAAAAAATATCAATGGAATCTGGTAGCAGAGTAGATGGAGAAGGGTACAGAAGGATGTCAGGACATAAATCAATTACAGATGCTTCTTGACTTATGATGGAGTGCTACCCCAATAAACCCTGCAAACACTGAAAATATCCTAAGTTGACCATGCATATACCTGCTCTACAAACACCCTAGCTTGGCAACACAGTACACTACAAGACACCACTTGCCTACTCTTCAGAGTGGCCTCACTGAGGCCTCTCAGATGCCACTGCTACCCAGCATTTAAGAGAGAAATGTCTCCTGCATATCACTAGCCTAGAAAAAAAAACAAATTCAAAAATTCAAAATACACTTTCTACTGCTGGTGTATTGCTTTCGCAAACTCCGAAAAATAAGAAAACAAAAACACCTCAAAGCACTGTAAGTTGGGGGCCATCTGCATTTCTAATACAACCAGAAGTGGTTCCTGACCTTGGGCATAACTATTGTCATCAGTTGAAGACTTCAGACAACAGAGCCTGGGATCCAATCCCAGAGACTGAGATTTAAGACCGAGTCTTAAATTAGAACTTTTAAAAGCTTCCCAGGTGATTCTAGTGTGCAGTTATGGCTAAGAACCATAAAACTTACAATTAATTTGCTTTCACTAAGAATAGTGATTCTCAGCATTGGTTATACTTTATAATTACTTGGGGGAGCTTTAAATACACAAAGCCAATCTGATCCAATCCTTAGATATTCTAAATTAATTAGTATTGATGTTTAAGTTTAATGCCAACTTGCCTGGGTTCAAGGATATGCAGACACCTTGAAAATGTTATTTCAGGATGTGTATGTGAGGGCGGTTCAGGAAAGAAACAGTATTTGAACCAGTAGAGAGAGGACAAAATCCTCTGGTGGGCAGGCATCATCCAATTATCCAATATATTCAGTGCTATGATAGAACAAAAAGGCAGAAGAAGAGAAAAGGTGCCCTCCCAACCCACACATCCGAACCCTGGTTCTTGGGCCTTTGTACACTTTGGACTTGCATCAGCAGTTCCTCAGTTTCTCAGACCTGAGGAATCGAAGTAAATTACACTACCCAGTTTCCTGGTTCTTCAGCTTAAAGACAGAAAATCATATGGGGAATCCCCATAACAAATCTCCTCATATATCTATACTCATTCTTGTGAACTATTTCTCTGAAGAACCCTAATACAATTGGTAATTTATTGGAATTTCCCAGTTGGTCAAAATGTGCAGTCAGAGTTGAGAATGCAAGTTCAGTCAGTTTAATTGATAATTTATTAACTACTTTATCTCAAACAAGTGTAAAATGAAGAAGGAATTCAGTAGTAGCAGAATCTAAATCTTCTAGTGAGGTGAAATAGAAATGAAGGTATTCTCACTTTCTTGTTACAATTTCACACTGAAATTTACACAATTAGAATTAGTGATATTTTTTAAAGATTTTAACATTTTTATTGTTGGTGTATGTTTATGATACATAATAATTATATTCATGTTGGTGAGCTGGTACATATACATATTTCATCTTGATCTTAGTGACTTTCTACTACTCCCATCCTTCTGTTCACCCTTTCTTGTCTCCACAAAATCTACCTCCCTGTTTCCTACCATGTCTTTTATTTTGCTCCTTATTTATATTTTCAGTTTCTCATACAAGAGAAAATATGTGATACTTATCTTCCTTTGTCAGTGTTGGAGATTGAACCTAGGGCCTTCACACTGAACTACATACTCAGTCTAAGGTCTTACTAAGCCAATAAATTGCCCAGGCTAGGCTCAAACTTGGGATCCTCCTGCCTCAGCCTCCAATTACGTATAATTTCTATTTTTCAAAATCTTAGTTTGAATGCAAAGAAGTCAAGTGATGGTTGGTCATTTATAAAATGAATGAGTAATACAGTACAAAATAAACTGATTCTAATCACAACCACAATTATATATCTTAAAAGAATAAGGTAGGGGAAGAGAGCAGGTAGGAAATGACATGCATAAAACTTATCCTAAGACAAGTGTCAGGATTCAATCCTATAAAGTAAATTAAAAATATCAAGCAGAACATTTAAATTATCTATATGCTAAGTGAAAAGCAAATTAATCTTTGTAGTATTATTTCATATTATGTGCAAAGTAAAAACAATTTTGTCCAGAAAGAAAACAATATTTCCAAATGACCTTTTATAAAATGAAAAACTGGCTTACCTCTTCCCTGTGATTCTTAATTGGCATACAAAGAATACTCTGTGTCTTGTAACCTGTAATTTGGTCAACTTCTGCATTGAACCGAGGATCCTAGTAAGGAAAAAGAAATTTAATTTAATGACTGACCTGCACAAAGATCAATTTAATCTTTCTAATTTATTAGATTACAGAAATTTAACCTTTGACTTACATTTTTACTCTGAGTATAAATTTTAGCATTATGAAAGGCATCAAATCACATAAGTGCATATCAAATTTGACAAAGATACAACTAAGGTTTTTAGCAGCTATGTTTGAGAAACAAATAAAAATCTCCAATCCAGACTTGAACAAATATTTTAAAAAACAGACATTCAAGGTATTATCTAATTAGAGAATCTGATAGTTTATGGAAAAGTGGCATCTCTCACATTTTGTGGTACAATTTGCCTGTCCCCATCTATCTCACTGCCTGATTTTGCTGTCATCTGCAGAAAGCAATCTCTGTTTTAAAACCTTTTCTAAAAATCTACCACTTCCAAGACACCTTTCCAATAAATGGCTTCCTTTATAATTGTTTTGGTCTTCCTCAGTATTCTGTACTAGAAGTAGAATCTCAAGTTTTCATAAGAGTGCTTTTTGTGTGTATATAAAAAAGCTGCATATTCTTAGTTTGTAAGCAGTTCCTTAATCTTTTGAGTCACTGCTCTTTTTGCAAAGCACATTATAAAGAATCACAAAGGACTTTTGAAATGTGAAAAGTTCTATATGTGGGTTACAGAAAAGTACAAGGCAATTTTCAATTGAACTTTAGAAAGATATAAAATTAGTCTACAAACTCTGTGAGTTTTAAATTCATTACTGTATCCCCAATACTTAGTTTTTGCTAAAATAAATGAGGGAATTCATTAACAAAGAATACCACAGTTATCTAAAGTGATCATTTTAGCTTATTACACTATAGTGTAAAGCAAAACTTCTAAGGCAAGAGTGAAACCACAGTGAAGAAAATCAACGGATACAAATACATGATGTAAAGTTAGAATGGAAGCAAATGTTCGAGAACATAAAAATCTGAATGAGTGTTGCTCTCTTCAAAGCAACAGCCTTGGGAACTTACACACTCAATCTAATAATAGCATCACTGCTCTAAAAACTCTGCATTTGGAAATCCCTTCAGAGAATATGGAATATCCACACTGGAAAATCGTCATCTTTGAAGGTCATTTCTATTTTTTTCATTAAATTAGTTTAAAGTCACGCAAAGCCAAAGCTGTGAATGAAGTAGGTGATTACATTAAATTCCATCAAATGGGGTCAGAAATGAGGTCAATTTTCCCTTGAGAAGGCCAAACTTGGCTTTTAAAGATATTTTCAGGAGAAAAGTTATAAAATGATGGAAAACCAGCATAAATATTTTATATTACAAATACTACAGCATTTTCACCTTATCTGCACAATGTTCAAGGTTATATTAATTGAGAAACATAGACGGCCATAGGTAAATGTTTCTAGTAAAATAGTTCTTGTTTTATCTTTAGATATTTAGGAATTTTATCTTTAGATTATGAGGAAAGTAGACAGGATTCTGATAATTGATGGATTAAAGCCATACATTATTGTCAAATAGTCAATTATTTACAAAGTAGTAAATCAAAGTGTGAATAAAAGTAATTACTTACAAAGTAATAAATCAAAGTGTGAATAAAATGCACCTTATGAAATAATTATACTAATGAATATTAGAATTACAAAGCTAGTTTATAAATAAGAGGATTTAACTCGACTAGTTAATTAAAGCAGTAATTTGACAGATTAAAGTTAGTAGGACTTCATAGCTTTTCTGGTGTCAATTATTAGACTAAAATTAATAATAACCTTGGATGTCACTCTTCATCAAAGTGAGTGGGAATGAATATACCCTTCAAATATACTTTAAGTGAAGGGGCAACTCAGTGTTTCCTTTAACAATGCAGTCAGTGCAAAGACAGTGAGGAAGCACAGAGAACTTCTCAACATTTCAGATTCAAGCAACATCAAAGAAAAACTAGTGTTATTGAAAGTATTCCTTTCACCGTTTATGAGAACTGGCTATACTTGCCATAACAAACTAACTGGTACTGGACTTACTTCCCTCTGAAGACAACCACAAGTCTAGACACAGCCACAGGTAAGAAAGAGGGGAAAGACACACGCTCACACTTACTATGGGGCATTCTGGCTTTTTGCCTTGAGTACTTTCTGTTTTGGAAATGCAGGTGCTACCCATGTAGAGCAACAGTTCCAAAAGAAACTGAAAGGAGTTCCAACTCTGAAGATACTGGAATCAACACAGAAATGCTATGTTAAGGCAGTCAGAGGAGACTGGTAGAGGAGAGGTGCAAAAGACTCAATGGCTGTTCACTTTGGACATGTACAGGTCAAAATTTTGACAGGATTAGCAAAATTAGCTGCTGAACTCTGAAAGCTGAATAGTAAAACAAGGTAAGGAAGTGTGTCAGGAATGGAGAATTCACTAAGCCTTTCAGACATTCCAGCTGACATAAGAAAAGGCCATTTCTCAGGTGAGGATACTCCTTGAAATTGGAATACATCCATCATAACGTAGTAAGACTGAGCTTGAGAGGATTAAGAGGATCTGTCAGTAATTTTACTGCCTGTCAGAACAAATCTCATTCTACAGTAAAATATACATAATGTCTAATATACAATAAAAAATTACGATCCATGTGAAGAAATAGGAAATGCAACTAATAGTGAAGAGAAAAAGCAGTAAATAGAAAATGACCCCAAGATGATTCAAATGTTGGCATTAATAGACAGAGATTTAAAAGCTACCATTACAAATTTATTTAAGGACATAAAGAAAAATATAATAATAATAAACAGATGTGAATCTCTGCAAAGAAATAGCTAAATGCAAATTATGGAACACAATGTATTAAATGAAAAGTTCCTTGATACGCTTAACAGTAGACTGGAAATAGCCAAAGGGGAGAGATCAGTGGAGTACCTATTCAGACAAAAACCTGAGAATGGAAAGAAAACATGAAACATTAAAAGTGTCGGTGCTTTATTGGATAGTATCGAATGATCACTATATAAAGTATGTAACTGGAGTATCAAACAGAATTGAGTACTTAAAGACATATGACAAAAAAATTTTCCAAAGCTGATGACAATCTTAGACTTACCTTAGACTTAGACACTCCTGGTGGGAAAACAATAACAGGGTGAAGCACATGAAGTGAAAATGATACAAAGAAGAGCTGAACTCTCAAGAAGAGAGTTCTCTAAAAATGGGGGAGACTCTTAAAATGCTTAAATTAAATTACTGTCAACTGCGAATTATCTATGCAGTGAAAATAGCCTTCAAAAATAAAGGCAAAATAAGCCATTTTTAGATAAACTAAAATTGCAAGAATTGGTCACCATCAGACACAAGAAGTGCTAAGAGTTGTTTCATCATCTGCAGGGAAGTATACCTGCAGAATAAAGAGCTAAGAACTGGCTTGAATACGTGAGGAAATATGTAAACAATAAGGAAGCTTGGTTCTTCATTTGTGGAGAAGTAAATACCAAATAGATAAAAGAAGAAGAAAAATAATGCACTTGGAAGTGCTGCATTGAAATTGGAGGAATCAGCATAAATCCAATGTTTTGAAGATATTAAGTAGATAGACATAGAAATAAAATACAGGTATGGGTGGACATTTATACATTTTTCCTAGTTCTGCCTGATCACACAAATATAAATGAACACAAACCAAAAGTGATGAGCATATCTAGTTTCCATTCTTGGTTTCTAAATATTCTTCCCTCCACTAAAAGGAACCAGGCTCCTTGGCAAAATGAATGATTCCAGGGCTGGGGCATGAAAACTACAAGACATGCCTCAAACATTTTGATAAGGCAAAAACTGACAACACACTGAAAAGGCCGTGAGGGTGTATCACAAACACACAGGAGTCAGCAAATCTGATATCATCTGAACACCAAAAATAAGATAATCATCATAATTCATTAAATAGAAAGGTATGTTCCCATACTGACAATGGAGAAGGTAAAATTCTTCCTTATAGTAAAATGTCCGATAATAAATACAGAAGATATGGTGGGAGTTAGGAAACCAGTGGATGATCTAACTGATACCATTGTAATAAATAAATTTAACACAGTGAATACTAGGGTAAACTTACCACATGTGTTCCTTGATAAGATATACCAAGATCTGTGGCATAATGAAAAATGCATTTGTTCTTTGTCACAAGTTTCTGGCACAGACCTCCTAAAATTTAGAGAATTTCTGAGTGACAAGAGGGAATTTTGATATCTATGAAAAGGTCCCCCCAACACACCTATATTCATGCTGATGAGATGGTTTATCTAAGGGGTGAAGAGGGTAGAGCCTTAGGAAGCTCTAGGATGGGCTGGGCAGGTGAGTTAAAGGGCTAAAACTGTGGGTCCAAACACCAGTGTTTGGGGAGCTAAAAAGGCTCCAGCCACCAACGGTCAATGATTTAATCAATCCTGACTACTTAGCAAAACCTCAATAACAACTCAGAAAATGAGGTTGAGAGAACTTTTGGGGTGCTGAAGCTACGAGGGTCAGGTGTTCTGGAGAGAGCCAGGAAGCTCAGTGTCCCAGGTCCACACACTTTGTCTTGGGCATCTCTTCTATTTGGCTGTTTTTGAAGCTATAACAAAATTGAGACTGCAAAGATAGAGCCTTCCTGGTTTCTGAGAGTCTTTTTATCATACTACTGACTTTGAGGGATGTCATGGGCACACCTAAACTGCAGTCAGCCTGGAAGAAGAGTCATCTTGGGGGTTCCTGTAAGGAATGTGGAGAGCTGGGAATTTCCATGGGTACCCTGCGGATCCCCTTTGGAGTTGGTGTCTGAAGATAGGGCAGTCTTGTGGGACTGAGCTTAACCTGTGGGTCTGTGCTGGCTCCCAGATCAAAACTGAACTGGGTTATGAACACCTAGCTGGTGCTAGAGAATTTGTTGTTTGAAAAAATCAAACAACATGAACATTAATATCTGTGGCAATGTTCCTAAAAAGGTTTAGTTTAAATTTATTTATGAAGGACATTCCACAAAATAACTAGCCTATTAGCTCTAAAAATGTCCAAAGTCAAGAAAGATGAAGAAATGCTGAGATACAGTTCCAGTTTGAAAAGAAACTAAAAAGACATGACAAGATTGTGCAATATATATATGTAATCCTGGATTAGATCCCAGATCACAAGGAAAAATAACATGTAAATAGTACCAATAAACAATGGAAAAAAATGTTATTTATTAATGGGACAATTGGCAAAATTTTTGCTCTGGACCATTAAAAGTATTGTATCAAATTAGAGAAGAGCACAGAATTCCCTGGTTTTGATTAATTTTATCATGAGTCATGTAAGAGAATATTCTTATTAAGAAACATACAATAGGGCTGGGGATTTAGCTCAGTGGTTCTGGTGACTGCCTTGCAAGTTCAAGGACCCGAGTTAGATCCTCCAGGGACCAAAAACAAACAAACAAACAAACAAACAAACAGAAACATACAATAAAATAATAAAACATATTTCTTATTATATTGTTCAAAAATAAGTGTATATTACTTATGCTTATTACAAAGTGAGAGAGAGGAAATGATAAAGCAAATGGGCCAAAAAAACAAGTAGAAATCCAAAAGGGTATATGAAAATTTCTTATACTTGAAAGCCTTGCAAATTTTCTGTGAATTTCAAAGAACTGCAGAAGAAAAAGAAACATAAAGAATGAAATAACATGTAGGACTTGCAAATTTGATGGCTCATTTTCTCCCACAAAACAGTATTTTTATGATGTATAAAAGCAATTTGAACACTGAACAGATATGGCTGCTCCCGAAATGTGTTCCTTAGGGCACAATTAAACACCATGAGACTTTAATAGATTTACCTAAGTTAAAACAGTTGCCAGTTTCCTTTTTGCTTACCAAATTTATTTTGCAAATAATTTTATTCATTAGCAATTCACTTGAGTGAGTTCATATTACTTTGGAAAAGTATCTTGATAAAAACACTTGAGTAGAAAAGGAAACCTGCAGGGTGAGAGAAGGTGAAGATTTCTTTCTCCGGAGAAATGATGAAGGGAAGGCTAGAAGCACAGGCTACATGCTGAAAGCCTTCCAGGAAATGTGACCATTTCTTGAGAACCTCTGTTCTCTCCAGAAATCCAGGAGCCCAAGGACGGCCTACCTGGAGGCAACTGAGTCTGAGTTCTGCATCCCCGTTAAGGAGGATGTTTTGACAACATAAATCTTTGAGACAGGAATTCTTGGGGAGGCTTAAGACTTTCTCCTTAGGACATGGAAAGAAGGTCTTCAAGGCAATGCTTCATAGGCATTGCGTGATAACTTGTTTCTCATAGGAGAAAAACACCAAATTATTACTTCAACACCTTCTTATATATTAGTATTTTTATCTTCTTATTAGGAAGTATTTAATTGTCTTATTGTTATTAATAAGGTCCCTGGAACATTTAAGAAGTTGCACAATCAATAGATGCAGGTGATATGTGATGCTTTAATATACAGGCAGCATTTACCAACCAACCCTTTAATGGTATTTGTGGTCCAACAGAACCACTGGTCAAAGTTGTGGGTGTTGTTTTGCAATTTAAGTATGCTATGAATGTTGTTATTAGAAATAAAATAATTGTATTTTCAACTTTGTGTCAATTTATTCAACTTATAATCAATTTATTTCTAATATTATGTTTTTATCCATTTTCTGCTTGAATCTGAGCATTATACTATTTCATAGCCAACTCTTCCATGTTTTCCATGACTATATGACAGCCTTTAAAATATTCTGTAGTCAAACAATTTTAAGAAATAAATGGTGAAAGTTTAAATAAGACATTTTCACAGAATGACTACTTTCATAATACACGAGACAGTATTTTGATGATGCAAATTGTGAGGCCGAATTCTCCATTAGCCAACAGAATTCTCCTGCTAATACCAATGTACATGACATCATAATGTAAGTCAGATTGTAGATCAGCTCCCAGAACTTGTAATGAAATTATTAGACATGAATGAATTTGCAAGACCACTATAAATACAGATCAGGGGACCATGGTGAGGTGGTAACAAGAGGAATTCACCGGCTAAGGCTCCACTCCGGTATCAGTGTAAATCAAGGACTCTTGGCTGTTTAGGTGCTGGTACAAGAATTAAACATCATTAATTGCAAAACAAAAAATACGTTGTCAAAACTTTAAAGATGCTAAGTAGGTTAAATAAAATCTGTGGCATTGCAGAACTGTCAGGCCCGGAGACACATAGGACCATGCAAACAAATGAACGCTTTCTTAGCAAAGCTGAAGAATATTTATTGTCCTACTGTACTTGGGACTATAGTGCCATTGAAAAGTGGAAACCCAGCTGTCATCTAAGACAGGAAGGGAATTCTGCAAATTTGGCAGCAGTCCTTCAGCTGTGTCCTTAATACCCCTGTTGGAGTCGGCTACGGTGTGACGTTACTAAAGGGCTCAAAGAAGTCATGGAGACAGCTCCATGAAAGCTGGTACATTTTTCACAGAAAATCAAAACTGAAAAAACTGTTAATTTTGAACAGGTTCTGAAAAAGTATCTCAGGATTTAGCCTATCTGAACTATCATACCTTGAATCCCAGGCCCCTTAGTATTCTGTACCAGCAGCATTATTCAGTCATCCATTTGAAAACCCAAGTCATCTTTGATCTCTCTTTACCCCTTTCTTCTACCTCCGATTAGCTGTCAAGTTAGTACCTTGAATCCCAGGCCCTTAGTATTCTGTACCAGCAGCATTATTCAGTCATCCATTTCAAAACCCAAGTCATCTTTGATCTCTCTTTACCCCTTTCTTCTACCTCCGATTAGCTGTCAAGTTCAGCAGATTCTAATTCAACTGAAACCCACTCCCGCCTTGTGATCTTTCAGGCCACAGTGCAGTTTGGGTCCTCAGTTTCTCATACTCCGGTTGTTAAAATAACCTTCTATCCTCCTAGCTTCTAGCATTTTTCTAATTCCTTTTATGATTAGAAAGATGAAAACTTATCCATCAAAGGCAGAGTTTCAATCATACTGGTCCCCCTTTCAAAACATCTTCAATTATTATTCTGGGCTGAGTTACAGCTGGCTTAGCCTGGCATCTGAGACCCCAGTACATTCCTGGCCATGCACCCATGGCTCCTCCAGGTCTGCTCTAACTCTGACACTTACATTTGCATGGTCCACCTTCCCTGTCTCCTTTTCACACCACCAGCTCTAACAATCAAAGCCCATATACTTCCCAGCATCTGTGTCAAGCCTTGCATCCTAGAAGATACCTTTCTCAAGCTACTGGACTGGACGTCATATTCTGCTTCTCAAACTGGACCACACTTTCCTTGCCACCTATTACAATCTGCCAGAAAGTTGAAATATCTGCTAGAAATTCTATTTATCTATGGCATCAACTATTATTTTCACCCAACAAATATGTATTAAGACCTCTCTGCCAGGCACCCTAATAGGCCCCTGGAATAGAGAACATAGCAATTAAGCCTCTTCAACTTACATAAAGCAAACCAGAATTAACAACGACTCTTCAAAGGGCACTGTGAAGTAGGGAGATAGCACAACTCCTCTGTCAAGGCACTAGAAACTACTTCACAAACACATAAAGTATCATTTCATTAAGACGCTTAGCTTAGCAGTTACAATTCTAACAATAAAAGAGATTATTTTAAATGGAAAATTTGAAACACGTAAGAGCGTAATCTTTAAATCATAATTAAAATCCTGTGCATAGCTGTAGAAAAAGTAAAGTAGGATCTTTCCACTGAAATATTTCAGTGCAAAATTTTCCATTTCCAAAAAAAAAAAAAAAAAAAAAAAAAAGACCTACAAGTTTATTTGTTTAAAAACTAAAGGAAATAGAAGATGGGTTGAAAGAAAATCAGACTTTCGCATCCATGGGGATGAATGAATATGGTTTACTGAATGAAGATGATGAAGAGAATGAATGAATAAAAAGAGATTATGGGATTGTTTAGAGTTTTTTGACAGTTTTGGAGCCTATCATTTTAGAATCTCAGTAAAATTGTCTTTCATTGTGATTAAGTAAATAAACATGGTAAGATTTCCCTCAGGCTCATATCCTTGATTGAACTCCCAGAAAAGAAACTGGAATTTAAAGGATGAAAGAGTTCTTACTATACATTTAATTTTTAAATGCATATAAAAGTTATCACATTGCACTTCAAACATCCCCTCCATTCACAACTGTGGTCCAATGCTCCAGGCATTCTCCTCCCTACTGCCTGCCTCAAGTCCCTACTTACCTCATATGCATCTCTGATGTTCAAGGGCTCACCAAATGCTGCCACATGTCCCACGATGCCTTTGTTCCACTCCAAACGGATACAGTTATTTGAAGCCTCTTCCAGAGTTGAACCTTCAGCAACATCAAAGAGGCGGCTGACAAGAAATTTATCATTGGAGCTGTCCTCACAAACAAGGAATAAGGAATAACGGTCAGCGGCAATGAGTCCATGGATATGCAAGAAAATTTTGTGGCATAAGGCTGTGACATCCAAATGACTAGAGATATCTTTCACTAATTCCAAGAGTCTTGAGCACTGGTCCCCTTCGTCATTATCAAACCTCGGAGGGGTTAGAGGCATCTGTTCCTTCTTTTCTGAGTCAGAAAGGAAGCTCACAGTTCCCTCAGAATCTTTGACAACGATGGGTCTGAGAGGGCGGTCAAATTCTGAGGCAGAGATCTTCCTGGTTGGTGTTCCAGGGGCACTGGTATCTGCCCGAGGACTCTGCTGTGAAGGGCAGGAGCAAAACTCGGCTTGGCTTCGGGTGCCTTCCTTGCACACTGGGATGGTGTGAACTCTCTCAGAAAACCATGCATTGACCATTTCTCTACAGAACAGAACATGCAGACAATTAGGTATTTGAAGAGGAAGGCTAGGAGCCCTGAAAGCCACTAAATGTCATCTGTGCCCAGTCATAGTCACTCTTCTTAAGTTCTCAGCTATAGGAAAAGTTGATACTCCCTCTTTGGGTGTCAAGTAGGCAATATCTAACACATTTTAAAATTCACCTGTCCTTTGTTCCACAGAGTGTACACATGTGGCAAAGGAGGTACAAGGATATTTACTCTGAGAGTGTTTTCTACAATAAAGATAAGCAGCAGCCTAATGGCACCCATAGAAAGCTAACACATTTATAGAGCACATTTATATAGTGGAACATCAGGCTGATGTCAAACAGTGACTATACGTACCTGTATAAACCTCCACAGGGACTTAAATGAAGCTTAGCAGTAGTGGTATGTGCTTAGCATGTACAAATTCCTGGGTTCATGTGAACATGTATGACATAAAGGTAAAAAGTAGAAGATGGGATTCAAGAAATCTGGTTGGTAGTTCTGACCAATCATTTCTACGGCCTAGGGTAGGATCTCTATTTTCCATTCTCTTCCTTGACAATTGGTATTTTTAAAGGTATATACTAAAAAAAAAAAATCATCATTTTGTCTAAACTTGTTGAGGCAAATATTAACAATCCTACTTTCTAAATTATGGAGCTAACTTAAATGGCTGACTCAAACCCATTCTACTATTCAATGGCAAAACCAGAAATCAAATTCAGGTTTCCTATTCCAGATACCATGGCCTATAACGAGTACAAAAGTTCTCAGAGGATCGGTGGTTGTCATGAAGAAGGCACTCCACAAATCTAGTTGAATTTGCTAATCAAAATCAAATTCAAGAAGAAAAGGCATAAAATGAATATCACTCACAATAAAACATTCTTTAATTTAATCCTTTGTATCAGATCACAAAGAATGGAACACTATTACACTGAGGTAAAAACACTATTTCAAAGGATTCAGAGAACAAAGATTTTTGAGAATAGTATCCTTTAAAAAAAATTAACTACATTCCATTATGTCTGTTTCTTTAGAAAAAGGTCATGTTTTATATATTTAAAGCAATGCCCTGAAAGGAATGTACAATGAATGTGTTTGATAGAAGAGACATTCTAATAGTTGCCAGATTTAGCAAATAAAAATGCAGGACACTGGCTGAAATCAAGTTTCAGATAAACAATGAATAATTTTTTTATTAAAAATTAAATCTGAAATTCAAATATAACTGGATGTCCTGTGTTTTGTCTGGCAACTCCTGTCATTCTATATTGTTTTTTCTTAACTGAAATAGTTGGTAAATAGACAACAGAGTGCTATGCAGAATACCAATGAGTTTCAGGCTCTCCTATTACTAATTTCATTACTGTAAGAGTTCAAAGGACAACCACACGATGATCCCACATACAATAATTAGACTTTTTAAAAGTTCTTAGATTAATAGTTTAATGTAAAACTAGAGCATACTATTTCCTTAAATCAAGCTCTTTTACTTTACTTTCAAAACCATACCATATAATATATTCCAGTGGGGGAAGGAGTGGTTGCAAAAGTCTTTATCATGTAGTTAATTGTGCAGTCATCAATTGCCAATGATTCTTGGGATTGTAAAGCTCTGAGGTGCTGTTTTTAGCTATGAGTTCTGGGTTCTAATTTCAGCCTTTGTTATTAATGACATGTGTGACTACTGACAAGCAAGTTTCTTCCTTTGAGTTGCAATTTCATCCTTGATAAAAAGGCAAAATACTATTAGTTCTGACCTCTTTATTAAGTGTGTTACTGTCTTCAGCACGGTATAAATTCAAGAATAACAAACTAGCAAGCAGAGGATAACTATAGCTTCTTCAGCTACAGCACTACACAGATTTGACATTGAACAACCACAACTTCCCTGGGGTTCATTTTCTGTGAAGGCCAAGTTCTTCCACAGTAAAGTAGGCTGCAGTATTAACAGGCCATTAAGACCCCCTCAACAGCTTATGTCATCAACAGGCCAAGGAGGAGGTGGCTCTTGGGTCAGACAACTCACATGCCCTCTTTCTGCCCCTCAACTTCCTCTTTGTGAAGCAGAGGGGAAAATCTCTGACTCCTTTTGTCCCAGAATAGGGCTGATGTACAAGATAAATTACATTTTAAAATCTCCTTAGAAGCTAAAATCGAATTGAAGAAGTGTAGGCATAAAGAGAATATGACCAGTGTATGTCAGATCGTACTGTCACCTACCACTTGGTACTCATTCCAATAGTGATGATAGGAGAGCCTGGGTAAGGAGAAAACATCATTCATTTCTTCATGTTCCCAGTGTGCAAGCCCACAGGCAGATGGGGACTACAAGATTTCTGGGTATAGATGACCTACATACATCATAAACACTCAAGTAACTTGGCTGAAGCAGATAGTTTAGGATGGCAACTCCACTAAGTTTTTCCTTTAAAGAGTTTAAATTACACCCTAACCATCTAAGTGAAAAGAATGAAACAAAAACAAGATCCACTGAGGTGTTTTTATTCTTTGCTACAAGGACTAATAATTTAGTGTTTAACTTTCATGTATAACCTTGTCTTCGCTGAATGCTCTGAAAACTGCTTCAAGTCTTTTAGCTGATTCAACTTTTACAAGGTTGTTAATGAAAGACAACAGATCCTACGTGCTGAAAGAAAGTCTGGGTCAAGGGAAAGGCAATGAGAATGGATGCCAACAAGATCCTGATGCTGAACATCTATCTCATCCACATCTTTTCCTCTCCTTACCAAAATGTGTTACTATCCTCTAGTCATTTACTTCCTAGCTTATTTTATGACACAAAGAAATTCTTACCTCATAAGCAAATTCTACTGTACCTCTGTTTTAAATGGTAAATTTAGTTTTGTTTTTCAACTTTTACAAGGTCTTAAAATCACTGGAGAAACCATGAAGTGTACCCGAACCAGTGTTAGGAGTGATTCTGCTAGCACCAACGTGGATACCACTTGTTGTGCACACTGGTATATCCCAAAGATGATGTTCAAGCTAAGGAACTCTTTCCCATCCTGAACGCCAAATGATCTTCACTTGTTAGATGACAGGAAGTAAAGCCAAGTGGAAGCTGTCAAAAACATGGGCTACAAGTTCTTATCATAAAAGTGATTTAAATTTTAAATCTTCCATTTTTTAAATCAATGAATCCAATCAGAAATATATTATCCTAATATTCTACTTTAGGGAAGACGCTTGTACCTCAAATTGCTCATGCATTAATGACTTAATATAAAAATCAGCTTCAGTGAGATGATGTTTAACGCATTTTGATTTCACAAGGCTGCCACAGCACCAACAAGTAGTACCCTTAAAGATGACACTGCAATGTGGACAGGGAAGAGGGGAAAACAAGAGTTCATGCAGAAGTCTGGCTCCTGCAGCTGCCATGTGCTCGTGTCAGAGACTCTGGGTCTTCAGTATGTGGAGGGGTGGATCAATTCACTTGTAACTAATCAAACAAAAGAGCAAAGAATTCTAGGGGATAGAAAGCTTAGAAGATGAGTTGTCATCAATTTTCACAATAGCTTTTAGGAACAACTTTACTTTAGCAAAGTTACATATGTGGCAGAAATAAAATGCTACATACTTCATTCTACATATCCTATGTGTCTCTCCATTTTTAAGGTATATGAAAAGTGATAGCATTCTTAAAATGATAGACTCAATCAAGCTAGTGATTAAATTAACTGGTGTCAAGCTAGTATCGCTTTTTAATGGGTTTTAGGTAGCTGTACTTGTGAGATTGAGAATGCTTCCTCTTATATTATCTAAACATTTAATAAATTGGTTTTTAATATTCTTCAAAAACAATGAGAGGTCACACATACTGTGTGAATAATCCAAACTTCTCCTACTTTCCAATTTCTCATTTTCACTGGATTATTATTTCATCACAGGAAAGAAAATTACAATTTACAGTTTGTGTTTTAGAATTTCTTACTAGACTGCTCAGAGCTTCTTCCAAATGACTACTATCTGAAAGTATTAAATGGAAACACTAACTGCAAACCTTGTCGATATAACACAGGGAAGAAAGCTCTCACACAGAATTTCAAATATGACTCTGTAGCAAAAAGAATACACACACATACACACACTCACAAACACACATACACCTCTGCGTCCTTATGGGACCATGTGGCAATAACTTTGCTTTTCATCAAAGTCAAACTACTCACTCATTTTACGTAATGAGTCTTGAAAAGACCAAAATATTTCAAAATACATAATCAATATACCAGATGTTTTATAAGGAAAAAATAATTAAAATTCTGATATAAATCTAATAACCTTCATGAGTTAAATTAGATAAAATTAGATAATTAGATGAAACCTTCTTATGGAGCAACTAGTTTAATGTGTCTTGTACTTTTGCCCAAAATAATATATCAAATGATAAAAAATTGTTTGAAAATATACTGTACTTAGGATATTTTCTTCTAATACTAAAAATATAATTGTAATAGCTTGGTACCTACATTTTTAGCTAGTCTATTTTAAAATGTCATTTGAGATTTCCTACTTTTTATATTCTAAAATTGCATATGGAAACTAAACTCACTTGGGCAAAGTCTCCAGACACATCATTAAGTAATGTGTGAGCACATTAAGAGGCCTGAAGAGAAACTTTAACCTCTTCTGAGTTACATTCCTTGTGGCATTAAATCTATGAGTTTTCGCTTTGCTTTCATTAAGACTGACTCAACCTCAGTATAGTGTGGCGCCTCATAGGGCCTTTGATGGGACAGACTTAGCCTTCAACCCGAGACCACTTCTTTCTAAGAATAGGACATTAAATACATTATTTATTTTCTCTGGAAAATGGAAAGAATGACATTTATCTCATAGTGTTCTTAAGAAGATTAAAGAAAATGGTGCATATTAAATGATAACATGAAGGCTCATCTACAGTATTTAATATGTGACAGCTATTTTCAGTTGAATGTGGAATGTGGTATATTTTTAAAGTTGA